ACGTACTCTCATTGCCGGTATGGCGATCCTCTCACCAAGGCGGTCACAGTAACCGTCTCTTTGGAGGGCCTCCGCACTGGCGTGGCCAGAATAGAAGTCTTTCGTGTACATCCGTCTTCTTCTTAAGAAGCGGCGAATATTGCTCTGAATGCCAAATTTAGCGTTAAGTCGACACAACTCGATTGGAATGCACACTTAAGCAGCTCGTCGAGCGGGCCTGAGCCGATGAATCTCAGCTATGCTGAGGATGAGGAGGCAGAGCTCTGAGTACGCCGAATAGCGTTTGAACACCCGACGGTGTTTTTGTCTGTAGAGTTACGCGATACTGTCAGATTGATTGTCTCCTACGCAAGGCGCGTCAATAACTATCGAATAGGCATCCATCTTCTTACCAGTCTTCTGGTTTTCGTGGGGTGACGACTACACACAGTAGGTTCGATGCGGCCTACTGAGGTAGAGGTCAGAAGGGCCCAACCCCCAATCAGCTCAGTCTTCTTAGCACAGACGTGTACGCAAGCCAGACTTGTTACTTGTGGAAGCGATCGTGAAGGGCTTAAACTCGCTATGAAATATCCTGATCGACTCGTGGCGTCGAACAATTTAATGCTCGACGCTGCACGAAAGATAGATGTCAGCTGTATGCTGAGTTGCTGAAAGCGCGGTTGAGTGACATCGTCTCTGTTCGTTTAGCGACAGGGACATGTCACGGTGCCGAAGGTCTCTGTGAGCTTCGGCGTCAAGATTCTTGACTTTGATAGCGTAGAATGCAGCTTAGTCGTAGATTTGGACTCAATGTATAACCTCATCCTTGGTATGGCATGGCTGAAACACCATTAGCCATGGATCGACTAGAGTTCGAAGACCTTGGGCGCTACGCGCACGTTTCCTGGTAAAGCAATTGTGAGTCATTGCAGTGGGGCTGTCGAAGCTGTTTGCTTTGAGGAACCTAAGAACCAGTACGAGTGTAGCGGATTGTAATCCGCTACCTCAGATAACTTAAGAACGTTAACCAAGGTAAAGGCGCTCTTCCGTTCAGAATGAAACTATATTCAATTGTTTATTTGCGGCAAAGCCGCCTATATCTCAGACCTTAGGTTCTCCTAATTGAATAGGAAAACCTAATTAATATGCATTACTAAGGCAGTCCCGCCATGTAGTGGTTTTTTGTTACGGTGTAGCCACATCGTTGTGTGACTACACCAACTTGTGTAATCCACACATATGTAAAGTCACACCATATTGTGTGACCTGCCCTTTCATTCAAGGGTACGTGTAACCCCAATACACTCTCCCCCATTAAAACTGTAATTCCACAATTCACATTTAGCTGTCGCCTCATACGAAGCTCGCGTGTCTGAGACACCGTTACGACCTTAAGAACATAGTTGAATATTCTCCACCCAATGCGCCCTTGTCTATGACACGTAAAATACCCAACCTAGCTGGTTTCGACGGCGTCCGCGCGCAAAGCATACCTTCTTCTTCTGCACGGGTTATATTACCGGACAGTACGTCCGTGGCTTTGCGGGAAGCGCATCCCAGGCCCTCGGCAACCGAGCGCCACACACCGCGTCCGCCCCGGGTGACGTATTACCTCGTGGGGGATTCGTAGTCAACTTCCTGCATGGGAAGACGAGAGGATGAGGTGCGCCAACGGCGCGACGTGAGACCATCTCGAACATGAGGACACGTGTTCGTTTCCCGACCTCTGGACTTTCGGGGGAAATGGTATTGTTACCAATCGCCTCGACAAGACACAAAGGCAGCAATTAAAGGCCGCCCATCGGGCAAGTCTCATGCACTCGTATCCACGTTTAGATCCTAGACTCTCATGTGGAGTACGACTTCCGTTCGGCGGATTTGCTACTCGCGATCTTTCGATCGTTAGCGTCTACGTAGTCAGACCCCCGGCCACTACACAAGCTGAGCTTGACCAGCGGAAAACTCTCGAGCTCGCTTCTTGGTAACTCAGGAAATTCCAACGGATGGGTACCGCGCTCGACTTCGAGCTCAAGAGGTGGCGCTCCTATACTATCCCTGTCTTGCAAAACCGCTGCAGTTTCTTTGAGCAATGAGTGAAGCTGCACCAGAAACATTCCTCGCTGTCTACCTTAAAGCGGAGCCACAACAAACTGGACGTGTGCGCAGAGCGCCATCTTTAATGTAAGTTTGCCAAACTCACGACGCAACGTCGCCTTCATGTGTATTGTCGCCCTACGACACATGAAATTATTCTTCACGCTCCCGCAAGCTCTGTGGTTTCTCACACGGGGTCGCTACGACCACAGCAGTTCAGGCCATAGCTTGAGCTCAGCCCATGGCCCTTCGGCTTCCCGGACTACCACCGAGAAGCGCGGGGCGCACAACGATGCGAAGTGTCATGATCCTTCTGATCATAAGCGTCCAAGACGTCTGAGCTCTTGCCGAAGCGGCACCTCGAACTTCCACAAGTTCTCGGAGTCGGGGTGTCCCCGCCACTTCACAAGATATTGGGTTCGACGCTGTCGACGACGTCGACCCACAAGGCGTTCCACATGATAGTGGACGCCACCATTCTCATCATGAAGAGTCGGTGGCGAGCGATGACAACTTGGTCGATCGCCGTCCGGTGATTTGGAATGCTCTTGAAGCTTTGATGAACAAGGTCCGTCGTCATCGTCATTCCGCGGACAATCTTTCTGAGCTCGTCTACCACTGTGCGGGAGACCGCTAGAGCCTAAAGCACTTTGTGCACCGATTGCCTCACGTTGAGGATTGATGCGCTCTGTCGAAGCGGCTTCTAGCGGTCGAGCAGACGAATGCGTCACTTCGTACGACGGTGGAGCGCCTTGCGCCGTTGAAATCGAAAATCGTTACACTCCGTGCTCGGAACAAGTTGCTATTCAAGCTTCTGGGTGGCCAAGCGCCTGTGGACGCCACCCCAGCGCTAACGCCTCTGCGTTCACTTGCGCCAAATTCCGGTACGGATTAAGCAAGCCCACATTAAACACTGGGTGGGTACGCATCTATTTCAGAAGTTTAGCGTTTACGCAAGGCCGCGCTTGGCAACAAACTTTGAAATTCCGATAAATGATGGACGGAGCTTCGACTTAACGACAGTGGAAATTGCATGGGTAGGAAGGTTTTTAGCCATTAATAGACCCAGGTATCTGACCTCTAAGTTTAACTTTGCTCTACCTCTTTCGTCTTCATGTCTTGGCTTTCTACCATCGCATCGCGAACGTGTCGCAAGACACTCAGTTTGGTAAACAGGAAATCATCGACTTTTTTACAAACAGTGAGAGGGCTGACATCAGCTAGCTGCTCAGCTATTCCCCCCACCCAGCCCTGAGCTATGGGATGGCGGCGTCAGCGGGACGCGAGGATTAACGAGCCCGTTCACGTACAGCGGCATGTAGCCGGTAGACTAATGCACTGCATTGTTCAGAGCGAACTCTACGAGTAGTAATATGGCGCTCAAGCGCCTCAGAGTTCCAGCGCAGACGCTGCGCAGGACGTCCTCGACGACGCGATTCATGCGCTCAGTTTGACCATCGGTTTGCGGATGGTCTGCTGCTGACATATCCAGCTTGGTGCGCAGCACCTTGAAGATCGTCGACCAAAACTTTTCAGTTAAGCGTGGGTCTCTGTCAGAGACAATTGACTCCGGGAGTCCATGTTTTCGAAAGACACGAGTAACTAACAGTGTTGCTGTACCGACACCGACGATGGTGTCGGGCACCGCCCATAGTTGAGCTATCTTGCTCAAATGGGCAACGAAGACCACGATATTCGTGTTGTATGCCTAGTCCTTCGGCATGTTAAACACAAGTTCCAAACATAAGGACTACCAACACCTGGAGGGTACCGACAAGCTGGCCAGCGGCGCCGCCGCATTCGGAGAGATATTCGCATTTTTACACGTATCACACGCGTGCACATAAGTGCTCGCCCTTTTGTACAGCTTAGGCCACTAGAAGTGGTAATTAACAGAGTTGTAGATCCTCTTACAAACGAAATGACCACTGAGTGGGGTTTCGTGGACCTCATGATCTGTGTAGTTCACGAACGGCTTTGAGTCAAGCAGGTGAACCCTGAACATGACAAGCACATACTTCATCGCATGTTTTTACTTGTCGTGGACTGGACAGTTTATAGATCTCGTATCTCAGGGTCTGCTTCCAGCAGCCGATGGCAATCTCCGAAGCGTCACAGACGACACTTAAAGGACGATCAGGGTATGGCAACGCCAGTATTGGTGCATGAAGGAGACTGTCTTTGACCCCATCAAAAGCCTCCCGATGCTCGGTGTCCCAACACCATTCCGCGTTCTTCTTGAGGAAATTAGAAAATAGCAGTGCCTTCACTGCGTAGTTTTCGCTGTAATTGTGCAAGTAGTTGACGAGGTCAAGCCACTTAAGAAGATCATTTTGATATCTTGTTACCGATCAGACCATGATGGCCTTGACTTTAGCGGGATTCCCAAAAAGCACCTTAAATAGGGTTTTCCTTCTCGCCAAAGATGCACTCATCGGCATTATCATAAAACTCATTCGTGCGCATGCACTCGAGCACCGCTTCAAACGGGCGATGAAGTTCTCTTCATCCGCCCTCCCGTGCCCCGCATGACTGTGAACGAGGGTGTCGTCGAAGTATGTCTGTGCATACGCCCGATTGGGCCTGAACAACTGCGTCACAAGACGATTTAATGTTGCTGGTGCATTTGATAGCTCTTGAGTCATCAATAGCCACTCCCAAAACAATTCGCTCGGAGTACCAGCGGAATATCACTCGCTCTCATGAGCAATTGGTAAAACCCATCGACCAAGACGAGTGCACTGTACTTTGCACATTCAACCATGTTGTTCTTGAGAACATCTCATTAGAAATCGGCGTTTGTGCCGGAATGGTGGCAGCATTGAGCTTTTTGTAAGCGTGAACGATACGCCACTTGTTGTTCGGCTTCCGGCACAAGACGTGGGTGTCGAATAAAGGACTTGCTCTCACGCACCATTCCGGCGTCATGTTTTGCGCGGAAGAAAGCATCAAGACCATCAAACCCTTGAGCAGGGGCCATTGGCGTATTGCGCAGTATTTGGTTCCGGAACTCGATCGATCTTATGACGCACACCTTAGTCCGGAGGTCGGAGCGACGGCGGGTCTTTTGTGACAACGTCTTGCAATTCCTTCACCACAGGATAGTACGAGTCCGAGGGATTTTTTAGGACCGAAGATACACTTCATGTGCTCAGCACCCTCTTGGTGTCATCCAGGACAGCTTCACTCAGAAGGCACGACGAGTTGATCTCCTCTTAATGATCACTTCGGCTAAGTTGCCTGTCTTCAAGTCACCGCCGATTTCTTCGAAGGACATCTCGTCCATTTCAAGAAAAGCATCCTCCACAAAAATAGCATCGAGTTGACGTCGCCGTCTTCCTCCTCCGTCATAACGTTGACGAGGGTGTATAGCGGTGCGCTATCGTTTACGATAGACACAACCTGGGCCAGGGTAGACTCCCGGCGTCTTGCGACTAGCATACGGCGTCGCCGTTGCATATACACAGAGGTTGTATGTCAGTGGGAACATGCACTCAGCGTCGTCCAGTGTCCCCCGTTTCCTTCTCCACCGAAGCCCTGATGTAATGAAAATACACCTCGAGATTGATGCCCTTGCTTAGAGTATACACGTTATACAATGATTGTTAGAAGCAGAAGGGTAACCAAAATCTATCGTGAATTTGTAATAGTAGCTACTGGAGTATCGGTGTTTATATTCGAGCATGTGACGGGCCACGTACGCCGAAATGCTGCTAGCTCCGCAGTCTTCGTACAGTGGATAACGTGCCGCTCCATGCGCATCTGAAGGTCTTTGACCAAATTGCCTAGCACCTCGTTTGACCATGCTACGCGTGGCATGCAGCGACTGCTTCGAAACGTGAGCAGTGTTCAGTGGGTTACGTGCCACACCACGTTCAGCCCGCGAGCCATGTTTGACTCCGGTGTTCACCAACTAGGATACTCCGATATCCAGCACATTGACCGTCTCGGTCCAGTGCCCGCGCCAATGGCATTTTTGCCTTCTAGCAGAAATGGGTTCGTGAGTCATCATAGCTCCACCAGGAGACGTGCGCGTAACGCCCAAGGTCTTCGACTTCCAGTCGATCAATGGCTCATGGTGTTCCAGCCGTGCCATACCAAGGATGAAGTCATACATTGAGTTCAAGTCTAAGACAAAGCAGCAATCCACGCTATCAAAGTCAAGAAAATTGACGTCGATGTCTACAGAGACCTTCAGCACCGTGGCATGTCTCGTCGCTAAGCGAGCAGTGACGATGTCACTCAACCGCGCTTTCAGTGCTTCAGCATACAGCTATATTCCATCTATTGTTGAGCATCGAGCAAAATTGCTCGACGCCCCGGAGTCGATAAGGATCTTTCATTGCTCTATAAAGCCCTTCACATTCGCTTCCGCGACCAGCAAGCCTGGTGTGCATACACGTTCCGCGTTCAAAAGCACGGAGGCCTTCGGGGCTGGGCCCTGCTGACCTCTATCTCCTTGAGATTCAACAGAACTCAATTTTCCCGAGTTGGCGCGGGGTGGCTGGTAGGTGTTGACATTTCCCCGATGCCCACCAGAAGACTGGTAAGAAGGGGGACATCGATTTGCTAAACCTTGACAAGCCATGGGACAATAAATCTGAAGGTGACGGGAACAAGACACGTCGGGCGCTCGAACGCTGCTCGGCAGCTCGAAGCTCTGCCTCCTTGTCCTCAGCATAGCTGAGATTCATCGGCTCAGGCCCGCTCGACGAGCTGCTAGAGTTTGCATTCCAACCAAGTCGAGCCGACTTGTTAATTCGACATTCAGTGCCACATTCACTGATTATTTAAACGCTGAGGGTTTTACAAGGAGGACTTCTATTCTGGCCACGCCAGTGCGGAGGCCCTCCATAGAGACGATCATTGTGACCGCCTCGGGGAGAAGATCCGCCATACCGGCAATGAGAGTACGCAACCCTTGGACAAAGTCCACCAATTCCTTCTTGACCTGTCGAGCGGCAAGGAAACGTGATCGCACGCGATATGCCTGTTTAGATGGCAAGAATACTTGTGAAAGCTGCAGCTGCAGCTCTGTCCAGGTGGAAAACGCCGATTTGACCGAAGTGACGCACGTCAGTGCCCATTTTCGCGCTCGACCACAGAGCTTGGAGATAGCTAGCTCCACGTGCTGTTGCTCGGTCTGGAGCATGGTGGGCGCCATAGCCATCTTGACCTCTCTCACCCAGAGCAGGCAACTCTCTCGATCCTTACCCTCGAAATTCTCAACACTCACAATGAGCGGCTTTGGTCGGGGTGGAGTCATCCGTCGTCGACAGTGGCGTCATGGACGCAGTTCGACAGTGGCGTCATGGACGCAGTCGATGCCGATATCTTCTACTGTAGGTGCTCAAGCAGAGCATTTTCATAGCTTGAAAATGCTTCAAGGCACGCGTTGATCGCTTTAGGTCCTCTCGAAGGGAGATGCTACATTCATCTCAGGGCCAAGCAGAGACATCAGCTTTTTAAGCCCGTCTTGCATGCCCTGGGGAAACTAAGAGAACAGCTATATTCTCAAAGAGGGTCAGTCGTAACGACTCAGGTGTAGATTGACTACAAGTGCTACGAAGCGCAGCGAGGCTGCCGTCACTGTTTTGCTTGGAGGAAGCTTGGTTAAGGTCGGTGACCTTCGTTCTATTCTTAGAACCAGTGCGAGTGTAGTGGATCGCAATCCACTTACTCCAAGAGTAATTACAACCTTAATCGAAGGCTAATTAATTCTTTCGTCTAAAGCGTAAACTGTATTTCTCGGTGTGATTCGTGGCAAAGTCGCCTAAATTCAAATTTTTAGGCTTTTCCATCTAAATAGTAAAACCTATTTAAGTGTTTAACTACTAGCTGTTCCAGCCACGTCCTGACTTTTTGTTTAAGCGTTGCCACATCATTTTGTGGTTACACCATCTTGTGGACGTCGAAAGTTTTATGTTCTCTCAGTGAGCAATCGCTCACTCTCTTCGGCTTGGATATACTTCAACCAAGATATGGATAGATGTTAGCCCAGGTCTATCAGAACATTGCTCAGTTTTTGGGACCCTAGGAGCTAATGGTCACAATTCTATATCGACATTGGGTGTGACACTTTACACTGGGATGAATGGCTATAGATCTGTGGTCTATAGCGTATGGTGTGACACTTTACACTGGGATGAATGGCTATAGATCTGTGGTGTACCATACATCGGTCAACTCCACAAACAGTCGATATCAAGCTGCTATATCCTTTCTCACTAAGAATTGCAATCTGCAATATAAAGGTGAAGACTTTTGTATCGCTTTATTACTGAGAACGACATCACTCAAATGTGGTGTTTGAGATAACACTATTTCACAACGTAGAGCATTTAATTGCATGGGAATTTTTACCAGACGATCATGGTAAGATTTTTGAGTACCAAGCTGAGACGGGGAGCGCTTCGCCACACCGAACTCGAAGATACAGGTTAAAAGAGATGAAGTGACTGTCAGCGCTGCTGTTTACAGCACACTGCCTAAATTAGCCCAGTGGTCCACCGTTATTGCTCAAAATCGGGGTATTTGATGATAAGGATTCCATTTCCCGCAGTCAGTTACATCGTCTTGTGGGGAGCTCTGAGCACAGCTGTAACGGTATTTCACGGGTTCGGTATGAAGGATGTGAGTCACACAAGATGGTATGACCACACAATGGTGTGGCTACACTCAAACAACAAGTCAGGTAAACTGCCAGTAAATATACATTTAACTAGGTTTTCCTATATATATAGAAAAACATATAAATTCAGAAATAGGCGGCTTTACCGCAAATAAAACCGAGAAGTACAGTCTACGTTTTAAATGGAAGAGTTAATTAGCCTTAAGGTAACGTTGTAATCACTCTTGTAGTAAGAGAATTGCGATCCACTACGTTCATACTGGTACCTGTATAGAACGAAGGTCACCGACCTAAATCAAACTTCCTCTGAGCGGAAAAGCTACGGCAGCCCCGTTGCACCAGCCTAATCAATAATTTTACACCATTGATTTGCAATGCCGAAGGAGACTTCGCTTTTACAAGGAGTAGTACCGCCAACATAGCGCCACGACCTCGACTCCTGTATCACGCGGACCCTCAGGCTGTAGAATAATACTGAAATGAAGGCGCACTCGCCAGCAAAGCGCTTGTCACATTTTGTTGGTAGCCTGAGCGCACATGTTCATACGCCGAAACTCCTTCGTGACGGAGAACGGTCAGTAGTGCGTAACACAACAACCAGGGCACTTGCCATCTGTAATAGGCTACACTTAGCCATTACATGAAGGTACATATGTACCTTTTGTATGCATAGTGGGAATCAATATAAGATGGTGCTCCCAAATGCATACGTGATTTCTTATATGAAGTCACAAATATACTGCGTGATACAGAATGCTGGTTACTACTTGAGGATCTGTACTGGTGACGAGACCGACGTGTCTTTGACTTTAGAAGTGGATGGCGTAAGCCAGCTCCCTCTTTTGGATACTTTCACGAAGCTTGAAGTCCAAGCTCTCAAAGCTCAGGCTCCGTACACCAAGATCTTGTACCAGTTGAATCTGATGTTTAAGCTCAGTACACCCTTGATTCATGTGTCAGACATCCAAGGTTTTATCAGTTAAACAGGTAGGAGCCTTTGGGGTGTTTTGCTTGTAGCTAAGCACCAAAACTTATTTGAATTCAGTGTAAATTCTCCTTTGAAGTGTTAAGTCGTTCTTCTTTTCTCCAAGTCGGGACTGACCTTCTCCCTCCACGTTAAGGACCGCTTCTTCGTCGCACAAGTGCGTGTTGTGTCTGAGGGGCTGTTTGTAAACAGCGCCGTCTTACACCATCCAGAGCACCCTATCCTCGCACGGAGTTTATTCGACAATGCAAATCATTCAAGGAGTGCATAGTATAAAACGCTCACAAATGTCGATGAGCAGCATGATACTGCACAGGCTACTAAGAACGAGAGCTATTTGTCTTTGGCTGCACCATCAGCACCGACGACTTTGACGCGGGTAATCAGCTCGTCCCACTAAGTTTTACTCGCTTGTCAAAGGTAATGAAGCCTTCTTCGTCCTTGACTACCTCTGTACTGTGCGAGGATTGAAAGGCAGGCATAGATATGTTATCAATAAGCACCTCGAGTTTATGTCTCGACAAGCGGATACTTGTCAGTAGTCACCGTTGTTGTCAGTTTAGATAGGCAGATCACCCAAATTTTGGTTTCGTACACCAGGAAACTATCCCGTGAGGTATTCAGTGGAGGCTATCCATGGGCGCGTTAAGGGGACATCAATCAAGTAAAGAACCCAGTAGAATGCTTGGTCGAATACTCTTGTCAGTTTTAGAGGTAGCACAGCAAATTACGGACCTTTACTGTATTCTCTTTGCAATTTGCCATTTCGTGCTCACCATAGTTTTTCTATAGGCTATGAGCCTAAGCTCCGTTAATTCTGCCTCCTTGTCTTCTGACTCTGCCTTAGCCACCGTAGACATGTCTACATTTAGTCGATTCGACAAGTTCGACGACGCTAAAATTAACACTTGGAAAATTAATTTGCAGATGGTAGGGCTGGTGGGATGTTACATTTGGTGATATGAAGCTGGAGCACTGCGCGAGTCCTATGAATCGGTGGGCCTTCAGGAGGAAGTTTCGAAAAGAGCAAGTGATAATATATCGCGCGATGGAGGACGCTCAACTGCTACAGGTCCGGTCGTCAAGCGGTGCGCATGATGCATGACCAAGACTGGAGGAAGTCTTTTGAGAAGAGGCGTTTTGCGAGCGAGCTCTTTCTTCACCGAAAATTGTATACAACAATGATCAAAGACGGTGATGTTTGGAACAAATCAGCAGGGTCATAACGTGAGCGTAGCAGCCTAACGCTGTGAGTGCCCCGGTGATCGAGAACGACGTGGTAATCAAGCTTCGTGGGAGTCTTAATTTCTCGTAGATTTTCTCATTAAAGCATAGGAAACACGTGTGGATAGTTTGAAATTGGAATTGGTGGTATTTTGTTTTCTACATGAAGATATTAAGCGCAAGGAGCAAGGTGGCGATGGAGCTACGTCTGGCCGAGTGTTTATCATGAAAGCGGATGCTGAGCGCAAAGGACGACCGGTGTAGAAGACTGGCGCGTACCACAATTGCGGGGAACAAGGATACTTGATTGTGGATTGCCCCTGGCGAGTTCAAAACAAATTTAAGGGATATCACCTGCAGCGGGCTAACATTGCGGGAGGAGTTTCTGGTAATTATCTCTGTTCAGTTGGTTGTAGCAGTGGCTCAACCAAGCCAAAATATGTTTGGCTGGTCGACTCGGGAGCGATACAGCATATAGCAAGCTACAAGACGTTCATGAGAAATTATAAGGTGCTTTTTACTGTGGACGTACATTTGGCGGATGACGGCGAGGTACAAGCCAGCATCACTGGCGTCATTGTTTTGTTATATCAATAATTACTTCATATAGAGTAGAGAAAGGTTAGCTAACAAACGAAGGGCACATTCCCAAGTTGTCGAGTAAATTGTTTTTGTTGGTCGATCAAATAAAGACCTCGGACTTGTCGTTTTCGACAAAGAACAATATTTCGATGAGATTGAAGGTGTCAGGTGGAAGATCTGCGCACAAGAAGAAAGAGGGTTGCTCTGGCTTCATATGACTTTAGTTGCACGAGATAAAGCAAATGCTGCTAAATTTTTAACATTTTCGACTCGGACATATTGGTTATGACCATTGCTAAGAAGAATCTCGCTGCTGGCATGAAAATAGTGCATAAAAACAAGAAGGAGCTGTGTGGTAGCCGCGCATTGGGAAAGCAAACTTGCGTACGCTTTTAATCGACGTGAAAGGATTAAGCAAGCAAGCGCTTAGAGATTATCTCCAGCGACGAGTGCAGCTCCATACAAATTTCGACCTATAGCGACAAGCACTACTTTGTGATTTTCATCGCCGACAAGTCCAGATACTGTGTCATTAAAAGCAAGTCAGAAGTCGAGCATAGGCTCACCAATTTTGCTGCACTGGCGGAGAAACAGACTGGCTCTTCGCAGTAACAAGGGTGGTGAGTACGCGTCCCTGAGAGTGACCAAGATCTGTTCGGGTAGCGGGATTGCTCTCAAGTACGCATCACCATATACACCACAGCTCAACGAAGTTGCGGAACATATGAATTGGACAGTAGTGTAATGTGAGCGATGCATAATGAAACATTAGGGCCTTGCAAAATAGTACTGGGGAAGCAGTTTTGGCGGCAATGTTCCTCCGAAAGCGGTGTCCATCGTGCGCGACCAAACATGCAGAATCAGCTTACGAGCCATAAACAGCCAAGAAACAGCTGTTGGCAAACCTGAAAGTATTTGTCTGCCACGCCTTCTCACGTTTTCGAAACAAAAACGCTCGAAATTTGACACGAAAGCTATCCTGTGTTTTATTTGGGGGTATTCCGAGCATCACAAATCGCATTGGTTCGAGAAAATGTCAATTGGTTAAGTTATCATGAGTCGTGATGCACAGTTCAAAAAATACCCACTTGGTGATAAGGCACGATTACAAGGACAAAAAATAAGTCAATGAGATTTGGGATGACGACGAAATTACATTGACAGATATTTTGGTAAAGTCTGATGCGAAAAATGGACCTCAGGACACTGATCCGAACCAAGATTTTGTATTGGGCAACAAGTGACACACCTGCACTCAGTCATTAGAAAAAGTGTCTGAAAGACCCCAGCCCAAGAATCATGTGTCGCATTATCGACACTCGACACTTAATGTGTCATTCGGATTTGCTACTATTTGTGAGGAGAATGATGAGGCTGTCTACGCCGTGAATACAGTGGGAATACATCGACAACTTTCAATTCGGCAATGGAACTTAGCAAAACGAACAAATGGAAAGCGAAGTGCGAGTCATATTAAAGTCCTTCACAATAATAACATATGAAAGTCGTGTTACTGCCTAAGGGTAGCAAAGCGATTGTGTGCAGGTAGGTATTTGAGTCAAGGAAACCCAAGATGGAGAAATTAAGCGATACAAGGCGCCGCATGTGGCATAAGGGTTCCTTCAAAGTATGGGGTTGATTACGGAAATATTTACGCCAGTGGCAAAATTCACATTGATTCGATGCGTATTGAGCATGGCTGCCAAGTACGATTTGTCGCTGCATCAATTGGAAGCAAAGACCGCTTTCTTGATATTTATTTTATATGAAGAAATATACATGCAGCAATCGTAGGGATATATTAGCGCGAAAATCCAAAACCATATGCGCAAGCTCAAGCGGTTGCTTTGCGGTCTTGAGCAATCACCAAGAATGCTGAACATCACTATCGACGGATTCATGATCACATTTAGTTTCGAGTCGGATCACTTAGTTTATGTAACGGAGTTGCACGTACCCTGGAATACAGGGGTTGGTCACACAAGATGTTGTGACCGTACAAATGTGTGGATTACACAAGTTGTGTAATCACACAATGGTGTTGCTCTATCGTAACAAGAAGCCACTACGTGGCGGGTGTTGCTAGCAGTTACGCATATTAATCAGATTTTACTATGTTATTGAGAAAACCTCAGGTTTTAGATATAGGCGGCTCTGCCGCAAGTGAAACACATAAAATCAGTTTCTATTTTAAACGGAAGAGTACATTTGCCTTAGATTAAGGTTTGGGTACGCTTGGATGTAGCGAATTGCGATCCGCTATACTCGCACTGGTTCTAGTATAGAGCGTAAGGTCGGTGACCTTAGTAAGCTTCCTGTAAGCAAAGAGCTACGGCAGTCCCGCTGCACGTTGAGTCTCTGTGCAATATGCACGTCAAATCATATCAATTTGCTATCCTTTTCGTCAATTATCGACTATACTGTCTGTGAGTATTAAGCACGAATTGATCAAACATCTGTCCTCAAAACAACTACACCAGCTAGTATCTATAAGGGTGGTCAAACAAGGATCTGGAGGTACTAGCTCGCCCGGAAGCGCTCACTTACTGCACTCAAACTACCTGTCCATCAGTCAGAGAAGGTTGAGTACACAATGTGCAAGAGTTAAGAGAGCTCACAGCTGCAATAGCTGTGGACGCTCTATCTCGTCGGTGGTGACAATAATTTTTTTTTATTAAAGGTCTTCTGATCAATGCGGCTCGCACCGCAACATTTCAGATTCACCCAATTTATTTTAAGCATGAGGTCGGTGGCGCATTGATCGCGAAGAATAGTTTCCGTGCCCAATTAGGGCACGGGGGGGTGAAGCGTTTACCACCAAGCCAAAGATGGAGAATCAGACCGGTTAGAGGAATAAAAACAGTGTCCCAGATGGTGAGCCGCATTGGAATACTCATAGATATTATAGTTTCGAAAGTGGAATACCTTCGCCTGCATGATCCCCTGCTAACTCGGTCAAGAGGTATGATTGATCTGGCTTCCACTCATAATCGATCAAATAATTTCTCGCGAAGAAACGTGGGGCTAAGGTAGGCTCAGTATAGCCACCGAAAAATGTTCTGCTTTTTGTTATATGTTGTTGTCAAGTATAATAGGATCGAGCCCTCAAAGGATATAATTTCATCATTGGACCTGGGCTTGCAGCTTGTGTTATTAGCTGTTGTCTTCAACCTTAGCTTTGTGAAGCCACGAAAAGTCTAGATAAATTCAGTTGCGTCAGCAGTCCATGTGCTCCACGAATCTTTTTCCACGAAGCTCCATCATTATTTCCTCCGAGAAGTATCCATAATACTTCATCATGGACCTTAACTTTGGTACCCATTGCTCAAGGTCCAGTTTCATGTGTATCCACTCCAATAATGGGGTACTTACCCTGTTATTTATGGGTTCTTGCTGTGAAGTCTGTCAATAGCTTATCTTCCACATCGTCAAAGCTTGCATTTGAGATATTCATAGTATCGGATGTCGTGCATTCCGGTCTCGCGTGAGAAGCCATCAGCCGCCTACACTTTTGCAATTTCATGCATCGGCCACTTGTTTAATTGACATACTACCGCTTTCTACTAACAAGATAAATAACAATAGTCTACAAGCTTTCGATCCTGTTATAATACTGTAAATTATCAAATGTATAGTTGTGAAAGTGCAGTGTGTAAATTCAGATCAGATCGTAGGTCATGAAAACATATTTATTGTGGTTTTTAACGCACTTATTTCGGTCGTAGCAATTCTAAGCGTTTAAGATAATTGTCTAAAAGTCATGACATTACTTTCAACCCTCAGTATCGTTGGTGGCTGCGGACCTCCAACGATATTAGTTGTTAGAAAACACGTTGCCTCATTGACAAGACAGCTGATGGCGACATCGAAACATACTTTTGACAGCAAAAAATATAGCGCATTTGTGCAAATTCTCCTAGCCTATTAACAATTAGTTATCGTTGATTGACGAGACCAAGCGTCATCAACAGGCTCCCCGAGTGTCTGCAATACCTTGACAGGCTCCTTGCAGATACCGAAATGCATAGTGATCATCACGCCATCTTCCATCCTGAACCCGTGAGGATGACGAGTCATTGATGTACGACTGTGCAGCAGTCGTACATCAATTTGCAATGAGCTAATCATATAAACGATGAAGTTGTAGATATCATTGAACAAATGCATTTTGTTTTGCTTCAACCTCCTCTACCGATGCAAAAGTCACTGACTCTAGCAGGTTTGCCAACATCACTTCCGCCTAAGAAATGCTTGAGATCTTATTACATTGTTATTTCTTACACTGGTATGGAGTTTACAAGCTCAAATTCCTTTTCCCTCAAGTTTTCAACATTTATACAGAGTTTGAATGTGTTTGCAGTCTGTGAAGAAGATGGTGCTTCGTAAGGAACACAATTGTTTAAGAAAATTTTGTAGTATCTGATCTTTGCAAAGATTCACACAATAGTAAGATTTATGGAAAACATACTGCAGCGAAAGTCAAAATAACAGGGTGCAGTCGACAGCAGACGCTGCTGTAGATCGCAGTGTCTTTAAAGTTCATCTTTTGCAGTATTGCCCAGTATCTCGTTCATGATGTCGTCGTCCTCGTCGTCATCTTCGATTTCGTCCAATTTCACATCTTCGCCGTCCCAATGCTTAACCGTCTTGATCTCTGGCAGCTCGTCAAAGCCAACTGTTGACTCACGGCCCTGAATGACGCCTTGAAGAAACTCACCAATTGCTTCCGCCGTAAAAGCGCCACGCTGCACCACATAGCGCTTACGATCCAAGTTGATCGCTACCAGCGATGGGTACCCAAACGTCAGCTCAAAGCGGCTCTCGAAGTCGAGCTGGTCACCACCCTGCATCCAACCGAATTTGAATGGCTTGCCGCGCACTAGCTTTGCAGCCTCCTCAAGAGTATTAATGAAGCCTTCACGCGCACTTTTGCCACCTTCGGTAATATGAGGCAGCAAAGTGATAACGCAACTGGACTTACCTTCGCAAAAGTCGACTAATTCATCAGCTGAAACGAGTTGCTTAATTCGCTGTCCGCCACCCAAGGAATCTACGGCCGAAAGTCCAAACTCAGTAATAGCTGAAGCTGTTCGTTCACCTTGATAAGTATCACTATCTTCAGGTCCCATAGCATTTGGTCCAAACACTTTTATGGTGGGGAATCCTTTGACCCCGTACTCAGCACTCTTATGTTTATTGGCATCGCCATCAATAGCTGCAACCTTTACAGACCCCTTTAAGTTCAAGGCAGCTTGTTCCCACTCCGGGGCCAAAGCCTTGCAGTGTCCACACCATGGGGCGTAAAACTCCACAAGCCAGACCTCACCGCTGTTGAGTACCATCTCGTTAAACGTGTCGTCGGAGAGTTTAATGACGCTGCTCTTGTCGTTTGTTGACTTCTTTTTTGGGTCCGACTTGGACTTTCGTTTCACCTTTTCCGTGCCACCCAGAAGTCGAGACTCAACTAATCGACGCGTTGTTTTCAGCGCAGCATCGACGATACCTTTGGCGGTGCGCTCACCGTTAAAAGTTGTTGGATTGGCCTTGTTTCCACCAAAGATCATGATTGTGGGGAAACCACTTACCCCAAACTCACTCATAAGTTCCTTTTCGTCATCACAATTGATGGCAGCTACGTTGACAACACCTTCCAAAGCTTTGGATGCCTTTTTGTACTCAGGTGCCAAATTTTTGCAATGACCACACCACGGCGCGTAGAACTCAACGATCCACACGCCTGAGTCTTTTTGAACCTCCTTGCGAAAGCTTTTGGTGTCAAGCAGCTTGACACTTCCCTTTTTCGAGTACATGCCACGTGCACAGGCCAGCAGACTCGCTGCCACAAACACAAGCACCGCAACGCACCGCATAATTATTTCAATTGTAATTGCAAGAATGGATCTTCGCCACGTGAGTCACTGCAATTGGCTAGAAACATTTAAAATGGATTGGTCAAAAACATGCACAGGATTTTATTTTGCTATCTGTGGTATGGCCAATAAATAAGACTGTTACAATTTTACCATGAACGTTTACATGAAAGAAGCAATAACAGAACTGAAATTGGAGCAATACATTTCCTTCTCATGCATTCATTACGCACTGAGCCCATTATCTAATGGTTACCGATTGGATGTCATTCAAGAGTCAAGAGCAAGTCTTTCAATACCTGAAACAGCACGGAAAAAAGACAATTGTGCTTTACTCGATAATAAAAAGTTGGGTCGCTTACTCAATAAATACAGTATTACTCAGAGGCAAAAGCGATTTTAGTGGTATAGCCGTGATTAAAAAAGTACATAGCAGCTTTCGGCAAAGAATGATAAAAAAAAACTTTATTAAATTTAGGGTTCAAATATTCCCACTTGATAGCGTGTACCAGGATAAATATGACACTATCACTTATGTATTACGGTAACTTAAAGAATCTGATCGTTTGAATGCTGAATGATGACAACTGCTTCATAGCTGGAAGAGGTATCAAAGAAAATTGGCCAATATGTTTAAATTGTAACAATTGCTGATGGCCCTATCGCTCAAAAGCCTGAAGGCAACAACGCACAGAACATGACTTACTCTAAGAGTACGAAAACCGTTGATGCAATATTTAATGAGGTACTTACTACTGTACAGTGGTGACGAACGCCGTGCACCTTTGAACAGCTGAGCGAATACAATGTTAAACAGTTCTACAAAATCCACATTACACCTCTGGTGTAACGGGGTCACATGAGAGCGACCCGTCACTCTCCCAAGGGAGCTGTGGTGTGGC